AGTAGGATATACAGGTCAATGGATTCCCACAATGTCAGATAAAAATGTGTACAGAGACAAAGACATTTGGAATCAATTGAAAATCCAATGTGATTTTTCCAACACCCAAAATCCGATCACTATGTCCCTGAATTGGCCTAAACTCTCTGGTAAAACAAATCAAACTGAAATATATTTGGTCCTTGGAGTAGATCAGACTGGAGTAGATCTAATGGGATTCATTAGAGCAGTAATTATGAATGAAATAACGAAACATGACACAACTTTGTTGACACCTGTAACTCAGTCTTCCCACCAATTTCTAATAAAACCAAAACAGGAGCATTTACTCCTCATAAAGGCAAAGGAGACTATGTGTACTATGAAAATGAATGTGTTATGAAAAACCTAGCCTAAGGAGCCATAATGCAGGATAAGAGAATTTGGCATTCATCAGTGATAAACATGAGGGAAATGTTGGAAGAATTTAATTTATTATCATTGCTTCATGCTGTACTGTCGCTTGTGTTGTTACTTTGTCGTCATATATGTTAGAATAAACCTAACAAGCTGTCTGGAGAGTTGGTGTGAAGAGAATTTGGGGGAAATTCTCTTTGAATGTGTGTGGCTATGTGACTGTGTGTGCTCGGGAAAGCCTTTTGGTGTCTTAGCAGCTTCCTGCTGCAGATCCAACCAAATGTGAAAACCTCTGAAATCTAACAGTAGTAACTTGGCAGCTGGTGGACTCAAACCTGAAATCTTCCGGACCCACTTCCTTAAGGACCTGGTTGGTTATCCTGTTTATTACGTATGTTTGAACCTTTAATCTTTAATTACAGCCTGGAAAAGCCAAGCCCAAAGGAGTGCCTCCTCCACCTCCTTCTGCAGGAAACCAACCAAAACCACTGGGTCAGAACTACATGGCTGCTTGTCAGGTAATTAAATGTGATTTTAAAAGCAAACAATGTTTTTTAAATGACAGTAAAGGATCATTACACTTACATTAATGTAAGTAAAATGTATATATTTTTAAAAGAAGACATTTCTTTGAATTAATAGATTCAAAAAAGAGCAACAGATGAGAACTACGACATGCCACAGCGTCATTTCCTCTAATGACATTACACTTATCTGCACACAGCTGTTCTCGGGCAGTAATATTGACTTTGTCAAGAACTGGTTCCATATATTTGTATGACTGGAGTGTTAGTGTAGTGTTAAAAAGCCTCTCATACACATTTCAGACAACTCACTCATTCAAAGGGAAAAATTAAAATATATTAAAATCATTTGTTCATAAATAACAGCATTTTATTTAACCCTGTAAAGCCCAAACCATTAAATAATTGAAACAAAATTCAAATTGTTTGAACTTGGACCTTTATTGGTCCCTCTGAACAAACAAACAAACAAAAAAATCAAATATCATTATATAAACATATAATACAAACAAAAATGTTAAAAAATGTTTTTTAAAATATATTAATCAGAACATTGCGGAGTTCATTAATGTATTACAAAGTTACATTTTTTAAAAGAAAAACACAGTAAACAATGTAAAAAATAGATGGACTGACATGTTTCACAGATTAAATCCAATTATGGCAGAAACTGTTGATTAGCATATGGGATTAGATTATTGATATTGAAGAGTAAGATTAATAATAACTGCTCTCACAGGGAGAACAAAAATAATTAAAAAATTAAATATAATTGACATTAAATGGTATATATATATATATATATAATGAATTGATAATTCATTTCTAATTACTACTATATGCATATATAGGGAATCACAAGGAATAAATAATAGGTTCCCTTTATTATTTAATGACCTTTATATACAGTATGCATGTACGTAAGTACAGATATAAAGGGAATAATTCACCTCTGGCCAATCAAATCTGTTTTCCGGGTTGGAAAAACTGACAATTGGGAGGTGAAGTTGTTCAGTGAATTCAGCGGTAATTGTAGCGATGGCTAATAGCAAGTATTTTCACATTGCATCAACCCAGTAACTATTCCTATTGATGTTTCAGTAAAAATTTTAATGTTTTTCTCATCTTAACCTTTTCAAACTTGGCAAAGTTGTTGTTCAAAACTCTTTCAAAAATTGCTTTGAAGTGATTGTATTTTTCCCACTAACTTTAATAAACCCACCCCACAGCCCCCCACCACCCAGAAATATTTCATTAGAAGAGAAAAACAACAAAGAAGCCCCGAAACTTGTTTCATCATAAATGAAACATCATGCAAATAGAACAGAACAACAAGAGTCTAATAGTAATAGAATAAGAGTCAGAGTAAGAACAACAATAATAATTATTAATCATAATAAAATATAAAATAATCTTACAAAGCAAAACATGACAGCAGTAGTTTCTGTCACTTTTTGTTTTGTTTTTTTGCTACAGATTTTTACTGACAGACATGATCATAAACTCTGTCTCCACCCTGTTTCACAGTCTAAACAAGAAGGAATAAAAACAATCATGAATCATGGATTCACTGACGCTCTTATTTTTAAAGATGGTGCTTGATTCACAGTTTTACTTCTGAAATTCCTTCATTTACAAAAAGCAGCATTAGGCAGTAAACACAGAAAAAGTCTCAGAGAACTGACACCACAGAAGTTTGACAGCTGGAGTGACGAATGACGCTGGAGATCGACTAAACTAGTGGTTGGACAAGTAACCAGGTCAGAATTAGAATTAGAAAATGTATTTAGTTAACATTTTCTACATGGTGCATTAAACAAAATATCATTATTACAATTCTGGAGCATAGAAGAGATTTGGACAGCAAAGTCACACTGAAACACACATGCATACACATATACACACACACTCATCAAAGCCTTGTCTGGGCAGATTCCATTTCAGATAAAGATTTTAACTATTTAAAATGTTACATTATAATTTTTGTTTTTCATTTGCAAAAATATTGGTCCCTTTTCAGATGAAAGCAAGAAAAGCTGCTCCCTGAGATTCTGCTGCAGTTAGTGCATTGGGTTTTAGGTGATTGTCTCTTTTTCCTTCCTAAGGTCTGGTGTTGGAGTTGAAAAATATGATTTAAAAAACGATTTTACGTCAAAGTTAATTTACACAGGGCAGAATTCCTAACTTTAAGTGCTTTTTAACGGGAAATTCTTGGTCTTTATGGGCTGTTATTGAACTCACAAGGTGGTTTCATATCTGACCACAGAAATACACCAAGGTGACCACATGAGGCAGCAGTGGGCCAGTAGTTAATCTGTTATATGAACCAAGATCACTCCCTTTTGTATAAACTCCAAAGTTTACGCCGTCTATACTTACACTTACACAACTTGTACAACTGTGACTAGGTTCAGTAGCTGCTGTCATTAACAAAATCTAAATATAGTGCATTGTTTTTTTTTTTCAAATGCTGCACTTATCTGGACGGTAGTGGTAATGTCAGCATCCGAGGCCTTTTAAAAATGCTTCCTTCAAAATTTCAGTCCAGAGTAGTCTACATCCATAAACTGGATTGTGCAAATAGAAAAATGAGGGGTGAGTATAAAAAGTGTGAATAATGCTAAAATAAACTTTAACCAGGTTCAAGATGGTCACAATTAAAATTAGATTCTGTTTTTCTTACAAGTATCACACCAACATGAAAGAATAAATGAGAAATTCACAACTAGGTTCAGAGGGTGGGGATTATTGCAGGCTCCATACAAACAAAATCCAGACAAGGCTTGAGTAAGAACTCCCAATCGAGCCAAATCCCACTCTCTAACCCAAATTATTTAGAATGTTTTGATTTTAGAAATTCTGTACACAAACTATTAAATGATTATTTTTTTAAATAAAAAGAACACCTGGACAAAGTTAAGCTGGATATTTAAATTAAGACTAACTTAATACTGGAATCTGCTCTGTACTAAAGGACTATCTACAACAGTTCCCGCCCCCAAGACATTTTTTCCAGTTTTAATAAAAAGTTATTTCTAAAGTAAAACAAATAATCTTCCCTCATTGTTATGTCCATAAAGGATTGAATGCGTCAAACGTTTTTTTTAAAGTCTGTACATTTCTAGTCAGTCGAGGTGAGAACCGAAGTTCAAGTCGTGGTTCGGAGTCTAAATTCTGTGTGTGTGTGTTGTATAATGTTATATATACATTCTTCCACTTGTATCTGTGAAACAGGTGGAAATAAGTGCTGGACATTCCTGGTCTTGTTGGCAGTGACTGACTTTGCATCAGACAAATCCTCACTGCCTGACACAGGGTTAACGGAGCTCAGTAGACGTCACCAACGCCATCATGATGTCCTTACTGTTGCATTTATCCATCATTAGACACAATTGTGGTCTGGTTTCCATGGTCACGTTGGCACATGAACGGGGTCATGGCAGCATTGGTGTGGCTTGTGTGGGTCACTTCTACAGGGTCATGGCTTTGCTGGAATTGTGGGTCACTTGGTCCCCCTGCTGGCAGCCTTTATGTATTGGGTCACATGAAGAAGCATTTGCATTTGCTAAGCAGTGGGGGTGTGCATCACTTGGGAAAGGTAATGGTGGAAATAAGTCTGTGGGCCAGTTTGTCACTCCGTCATAGCAAAGTTGGAGCACTGGCTCATCTAGGCAGGGGTGTGGCGGTGTTGGGGTTGTGGGTCACTTGGCCAGGGTCATGGTGGAGTTGGGGTCAGGATTAAACAGTTCTTTGTACAGTGGTGGGAAGAGAACATTGACCGTTTCTGGATGAAGCTGCTGAAAGGCCTGCAGCTTCTCAGTGTGAAGAGTACACAGCGCAGACAACATCGGGATTCGGCTGATCAGCTGATGGACACAAGATTGTTATTGATTGAGTTAAAGATCAGACTGAGTTTGTTGAGTTTATATGAGTAAATTTATATTTAACCTTTTCATCCTAGTTAGATCACTTTAGATTGGTCATATGAATAGCCCTCAAGCCAAACTAGGGTGGGCACCCCTGATTTAGAGTATACCACCCACCAAAAATATATAATATATAATATAACGTAGTATACTATATATGTAATATTTGGTGTAAGGTTGTTTTGATGTAATGTTGCAGTATTTCTGTGAACCTTCTCCTGATAACACTTTTTTAGTTCTAAAGAACTAATGCTAAGCTAACCTTAGCCAAAGAATCTTCATCCATGTGGTTCTTCTGCATGATGTGCTGCAGAGCAAAATAGATCTTCTCCTGGAGCTTCTGGACTTTCCAAGGCTCCATGAGCCATGGGCGATCTGAAAGATGGCAATATGTGGTTCTGTTAGAGTTCTACGACTGTGTCGTGGCTCTTAAGTTGAGATTAGTTTTAAATATATTGATTATTCACGGGAAGTGATGTAGACTCACCTGTGGAAATGAGCACAGCTGCTGAAAAGAGAGCGATCTCTTCCTCTGTTAGTTGCAGCAAACACATACTCTTGGTGTAGTCAAAGACTTCACTCACCAAGTCATCACAACCTTTAAGGAAACAGAGGGAATACATTTTCATTGGCATGTAAAAAAAAATCAACTCACAGGGCTGTTGATTTTCACCTTAATATTATTAAGTCTCACCTAGAGCTTTGAACATCTGCATTCCTCCATACTTTCCCTCAAACAGCACTGTGTTGTTAAGTGGATTAAAGGCCCGACACATCCGCACTAAGACCACCTCCAAACAACCTGGAAGAATCAACCAGAACCAGACTTAAAAGAAAAAAAAGTCCAGACTGAGTCTGT